AGTTACAATATAATAAAACATGATCCAAACCCACTATTGTTGAGTTAATTCCAACTCATAGTGACCCTATAGGACAGAGTGGAACTGCCCCATAGGGTTTCCAAGGCTGTAAATCTTTATGGAAGCAGACTGCCACATCTTCTTCCCATGGAGCAGCTGGTGGGTTCGAACCACCAACCTTTTGATTAGCACCTGAGCACTTTAACCACTGCACCACCATGCCCCCTTAAAAATATGATACAACTGTTTTAAGAAGTGTGGTATATTAGATATGATTTTTAGAAACCACCTGCCAATAGAATACCCATACCATATAACTTGAGGGGCTGAGGGCTGAAGTGGAGGTAGGTTCAGCAGGTGGGGTTTGGTCTGGGAAAAGGGCCACTCTGAGTGCTGTGGGAGGGGGTTTAATTGTTGTAATGAGCTCCTACACGATTCCTTTTTCAATTATTTATTCTTTTCTTTTCTCATTAAAAAATCTATACAAATATTGTTTGTGACATTGATGGCAACCCCCGCATCCTACACGATTTTGGGAGGAACTTGGGAAGTGCAAGTCCAACCAGGGATGAGAACAGCCCCTACCAGTTCACATGAGGCGCTTGCCCGGAGTAACAAGGCAGAACTCACAAGGAAAGCTGGACTTTCAGAGAAACAAGAATGCACCTTGGAAAAGTGACTGTCTAGAGAATTCTAGAGGAAGGCATTGTCTCTCTACTGTATCCGCCTCTGTGCAGCCCACCATATCAGAGTCAGAGCTGGGTCAGTCACAGCCTGCCCAGATTCAACCAGAAAAACTTGATCAAAACAGACTTCGACAAGGACATACCATCTGTTATGGACTAAATTGTGACCCCCAAAAGTGTGTGGCAACTTGGCTAGGCCATGATTCTCAGTATCGTATGGTTGTCCTTCATTTTGTGATTGGATGTAATTATCCCATGTGTTGTTAATCCTAACCTCTACATATAAACGGGAGCCCTGGTGGCACAGTGGTTAAGAACTTGGCTGCTAACCAAAAGGTCAGCAGTTTGAATCCACCACCTGCTCCTTGGAAACCCTATGGGGCAGTTCTACTCTGTCCTGTAGGGTCACAATGAGTCAGAATTGACTCAACAGCAACGGGTCTTTTGTTGTTGTCGTCGTGATATATAAAGGAGTCCTGGTGGTGCAGTGGTTAAGAGCTACAGCGAGCTACGGCTGCTAACCAAAAGGTCAGAAGTTTGAATCCACCACCTGCTCCTTGGAAACCCTATGGGGCAGTTCTGCTCTGTCGTATAGGGTCGCTGTGAATCAAAATTGACTTGATGGCAACAGGTTATGATGTTAATGAGGCAGGACTAGAGGCAGTTATGTTAATGAGGTAGGACATAATCTACAGAATTAGGTTGTATCTTGAGTCAATTTCTTTTGAAATATAAAAGAGAGAATCGAGCAGAGAGGAGAGGGACCTCATACCACCAAGAAAGATGAGTCAGGAGCAGAGCACATCCTTTGGACCCAGGGTCCCTGCGCTGAGAAACTCCTAGACCCAGGGGAAGATTGATGACAAGGACCTTCCCCCAGAGCCGATAGAGAAAGCCTTCCCCTGGAGCTGGCACCCTGAATTCAGACTTCTAACCTCCTAGACTGTGAGAGAATAAATTTCTGTTTGTTAAAGCCGTCCACTTCTGGTATTTCTGTTATAGCAGCACTAGATAACTAAGACACCATCCGCGCTCAGAAGAGGTCACCAAATAAATACAGCATCCAAAGGCTAGATGCTGCAAGTCTCACTTAAGTCCCAATTCACAGAGCTTGTCTTGGTGTGGACGTGGGCCTGCTGGGGATGGCTGAGCATGTAATGTACAGGAAGAGGCTGGTCCTGATGCAGATGCCAGAACAAAGCAGCCTGTGTTCATGCAACCTCAGAACCACACACTTCCCAAATGTGACTCACGTATGGGATAGGCCAGACGCTAGTGGCTGGAAGAATAGGCAGGAGCTGGCTCGGTGGAGAAGCAGGACTTTGGTTCAGGATAGTTCAGTAACTTTCACGGCACTTCCCACCGGTAGGCCTGGGGTCCGTCTTCCACCTCCCTCTGTCCAGCTCCACTGGTCACTCAGTAGTTTCCTTTGGCCTCAGAACTAGAAAGGGCTGCTGCAGCCATGTTCTGCAGGGCCTTGACAGATGCCAGGCCAGGGAGCTGAGCATGGAGGCCAGGCTAGTGTTTTCAAACTCTGCCCTCAGAGCTACCCAGGGCCCCAGCCCAGGTGCTGCAGAGGCTTGCATGGGCATGAGGCTGGGATTACCGGCTGTCCCGGTTTGCCCACGACTGAGGGGGCTTCAGGTTTTAAACAGGGACAGGCTGGTTGCCCCATGTGCGGCGCCCTGCCATGCTCTCGCTCCTCCACTCCACTTACCAGGTCTAGACTTGGCACTCCACAGAAGATTTTCTTTGCAACAGAGCCACAAACAAACATTGAACGAGGTTAATAAGGTGCATACGGACGTGTTTACGGGTGAAGTGGACTAATGTCTGCAAAACTTTGGAGTGCATCCAAAATAAGATGGATGGATGGGTGGGCAGAGGAGTAGTTAGTGTGTGAGACACCAGGGGGAGCAATATGTGAATTTTGGGTACCCAGTATTCACTGTAAGCTTCTTTCATTTTTTCTGTATGTTTGAAAATAATTTTATGATGAAATGTCGGGAACAGATTTGCAAGTTATGGCGGTGGTCTCGGATCACTTCTGGGAACGTGGTTCTGAGGTCAACGGGTTGCTTCCTCCTTCTCTGTTACCACAGTTGGGCCACAGCTGGGGCGGGGGGCAAGGGAGCACCCTAAGAAGGACATCCCCTTGAGCTGATTTCACTTGGCTGATTAAATGTGCTAGTTTGTTTGGCGCCTCAGAACAAGGGGAAAGGAAGGAGGGGGCTTGGTTTAGACAGAAAGACTTGGTGCCTGAGCTTCTCACCCCGACTCTGACTCAGCCTCTCGCTGGCCTAGAAGGAACTGGGCCAGCGAGGTGGCCCGTTTCTGATGCCCACTCAGTGGGATAAGGGTGGGGGGACGAGCTGGTGAAGATGCCTCTCTCCCACCCAAGAACCCAACCTTCCTGCAGAGAGCGCAGTCTTCGTGTCCCGTCTCATCCAGGCCAGCCAATCAGAGGGTATGGCGAGCCATGTAGAGCATGATGCTGATGATGAAGTGGGTCACACTAGTGACTGATGGATTGGTGATGCCTTTGACTGAGACTGGAAAGCAGGAGATCAAGGCAGTGGAGGCAGAGGGGTCCAGATCCGTTTTGGAGATGTTTAATTGTTAGGTTGAGGTATCCTGGGTTCAATAAATATTTAAGGGGACCTGTCCAGTATGCGAAAACGCTGGTCTAGAGAGCTGGAAGGAGAGGCATGCTGGCTCCTTCAGCACACATGTGGTCCTTCCATCTGTCATACTGGGCCAGACCAGAGGGTGGGAGCAGAAACTGCTGCTCCTGCCCTCCAGCCAAAGACCCCCCCAGGAACACAGCTGCAGTTGAACAGGTCGAGTTGATAACTTGGTACATCCAGGGAGGAGGCAGGCACACCATGGGAATGGTGGGGCCGCTCAGTAAGAAGGTGTTAGAAAGGACCTATGTGCGCTTTAATTGGGTGACCTGTGGGAGAATCCAAGGAAATTGAGATTGGATACTGTCAGCACTGTAATTCTGTGACTGGACATCTGAATGAATCTTATCTAGAAGGAGGACAGAGGAGGACGAGGACAAAGCTGCCATCGGTCAAGGAGCAGCAGTCACCTGCTTTAGTGCTTCGACAAAATTATAAATCGGCCTTATTGTGCCTCACACTATCATGGTCTCAGAGTGACCTTGTCAGAGACGATGTCCAACGGAAGAAGAACAGCCCAGCTGTGAGTGCCAGGCCAGCTTCCAAATGTCAGCACTGCTCCCCAATGTCAGCACTGCTCCCCTTCTGCTGCCAGCCTTCCCCCTCCGGCTCCTCCTAGTCCTCCCGCCCCTCTCGGTCCTCCCGTCCCTCCCCTCCTCCCACTTCTCCCACGCCCCCTGCTCCTCCCGCTCCTCCTAGTCCTCCCGCCCCTCCCGGTCCTCCCGCCCCTCCTCCTTTGTTATTAAGGCAACAATGAACACATGGCAGGATGTGTCAAGGCTAAGACGCATGTACTTGGTGGCCCAGTGCATCCAGTGAGGGAGGACGCACAACCTAGACACTACTGAGCGACCTGGCACCGACTGTAAAGAAACAGACAGACGTAAGCCGGGGCAAGGGCAGTGGGGTGGCGTTGAGAGTGCAGGCAGTAAGCGGGGGAGGGCACTGTGGAGAGAATCTTAAAAGTTCGTAGGCTTCGTATCATGCCCCCCCCCCCCAGCAATTCTAATGGAAAACCCATTGCCATCGACTCGATTCTGACCCATAGTGACCCTATAGGACAGAGCAGAACCGCCCCACACGGTTTCCAAGGAGCGGCTGCTGGATTCGAACTGCTGACCGTTTGGTTACCAGCCATAGCTCTTAACCACTGTGCAACCAGGGCTCCAATTCCGATGGGAGTTGCTGGTAAAATACTCTTTCCCACTAGGGAAAGAGTTACCCACATTGCCACGAGCTCCCGCCACCTGCTTGGCAAGCTGGGTACAAGGATTTTATTGGCACGCTGTTTACAACAGAGAAATTCTGGAAACGAGCTAAATGCTCATCCATGGGGAAAGGCAAGCTAAAAAGCTGTAGGTTCGTCCGATGAAATCAAACGAACACATAGCAGTTAAGAGGAAACACATGTACGCTTATGAGCAAGACGCCATCTCAGCGCACCGCTGAAGGAGGCACAGGTACAGACATGCCCACGGACACCTGCGGTGCGGGTGACGGCCCCAGTCCTCCTCCCCGAACAAGACAATAAAATGGAAGACATCTCACGGGTTCCACTTTTTATTGGTGTGCCATGCATATGTACAGCCCCATTAGAGAGGCGCCCCCCGCCCCGCCGTTCCGCAGGCGCTCAGCGGACCTGCGCCAGGTTGTGCTTCTTGTACAGCAGCGCCCGCCTCTTCTCGCGCTCTTGCACGAAGGCGCGCAGGCGCGCCGTGGGGAAGGTCACGGCCGTGGGCCTGGAGTTGGCCGGCCCCTCCTCGGTCAGCCACGGGCAGCGCAGGCAGCTGGAGGCGCAGGGCCGGGCCCTGGAGCACCAACGAACCGGAGCAGGGCAGTCAGCCGCCTCCGCCCAGAGCGCGAGCAGGGCGGCGGGGCGGGCGCGGGACGCTCGCTTACCAGGGGTTGGCGCACAGCGTGCTCCGGAGGAAGGCCACGGCGCCCCCCGACAGCCCCGCGTAGCAGCGGCTCAGCCGGATGAGCCCCTTGCGCAGGGCTTTCTGCACGTCACGTGCCCCCTCGCTGCTCACGGGGTAGTCCGCGCTCAGCCTGCGGGGGGGGGGTAGGAGTGACAGGGTGGCCCGGGGACTCTGAGGCCACCTTCGGATGGATCCCGGGGTGTGGGGGGGCCAGGCAGTCCAGAGGTCACCCTCGGATGGATCCCAGGCCTGCCTCTCCCCTTCAGCACGTCCCCACACGCAGGTGCGCGAACTCACATGATGAAGGCCGTCACTCCGATGGCCCACACATCGGTCTGCGGGACTGCACCCTGACCCTCCAGGAGCTCTGGAGCTGAGGAGAGGCACCAGTGAATGGACACAGGGGAGAGGCAGGGTGTAGGCGGGTGGGCACAGGTGAGGGTCGTGAGGGCAGGGCACACAGGACAAGCAGGGGAGAGCTGAGCACAAAAGGGAGGACGGCCGGCGCAGGGAGCCAGCAGGTGGGCGGGGCGCGCGGGTCTTCCTCCAGGCTCCGCCCCCTCCCTCCCAGGTCGGGCCTCGGACGTCTGCTTCCCCACCCTCTCACCCATGGTCTCCATGTAATCCTTGAACTTCTCCGATGGCAGGACCTTCTCCCGGCTGAGGCTCTGGGCGTTGCCGAAGTCGAGGACCTTAAGCAGGTTGTACTCGGTGACAATCAGGTTCTCGGACCTGAGGTCTAGGTGCAGGATGCGCTGGGAGTGCAGGTACTGCGCGGCGCTCAGCGTCTGCCACAGGTAGTCCTTCACCTCTGATTCCGAGTAGGAGGCTCTGGGGGAGGGAGGGGCGGCTCAGGCAGCTTCCGGGCGGGCTGCCGAATGGGGAGGGGCAGAGGGCGATGTGGGGGCGCACCCGGGGCAAGGACCCTGGAGACTGCCCAGCCCCCGGGGCCTTGAGTGGAGAGCAGCCTGGCTCTTCTGTGTCGGGCCGCAGGGAGAGGGCGGCGGGTCTCACACGCCCTCCCGCCTGAGAGCCTGGTTTCCGGACAGCCCGTGCCTGCGGCTGCAGCTGCCTCCCTCACCTCTCTGCCAGGCAGGGAAGCAGCTCCGGTCCGGAACACAGCTCCAGGATGAGCACCAGGTGCCGCGGGCTGAGGTAGGCACCGTGCAGCTGGACCAGGTGCGGGTGGCGCAGGCCCTTGAGGGCCTCATACTCGCCTAGCACGGCTGTCTTGTCCTCCGCCAGGTACGGGACGATCTTGGCTGCCAGCAGGCGTCCGCTGCCCTTCTCCAGGCATTGCCGCACCACGCTGAAGCGGCCCCTGGGCAAGGGGAAGCATGGGCCAGGCTGGTAAGGCCCCTCCCCTTGAGCTCCCAGCAGCCCTCTGCCCCTTCCCACACAGACAGCGGGGGCAAACGTCGGGCCCCGGGCCCCGGGGAGAGCACTCAGGAGGGAAGCAGCAGAACCTTCCAGGGGTGGGATCTGTGGGCAGGGAGGAGATGCGTTTGGGAGATGCTGTCAACCAGATGTGAGCGGTGGAGAGGAAGGCTGAGGTTGGGGTGGGTGCCTGAGGGGCCAGCGCAGCATTGTCCCTGCCCGCCTGCCCGCAGCTTCGGCACCTCCGGATGTGTGTCTGAAAGGCGAAGGTCTGTGTGCTTGAGAGGGGCTGGGCTGGCAGTGTGTGACCGCTCTCCTCCTCAGAGACTGTGGAAAGAGGAGTGGGGTGACTGGGAGGCCCAGGGGGGCACACCCCAGTCAGCCCCTGCTCCCCTACCTATTCTCCTCCCCATCACTCCTCCCGGAACTCATTGAGGGGACACTCGGACCCCTCATTCCTCAGGCCATGGGGGGCATGTCAGGCAGAAAACCAGGAGGGGGTGTGTGAAGGCGGTGAAGCTGCCAGGTACACTCCAGGAGTGGGGGCAGCCCCGCTCAGCTGGGACCACAGACAACATGCATGCCGGCCACACTTCCTGGACCCACAGCAGACATTAGTAATCACAGCGCAGAGCCCAGACAGCCCGAGGCCTCGGCACTCCCCGGGCTCAGCGTGCACCTCGGGATGAGCTCAGCGGCTCCTGGGAGCAGGGTGTGGAAGAAAGGGTCTGGGCAGTGAGAAGCCCCAGAACGTGCTGCCCAAACAAGGCCAGTAGGGGCTTTCTGCCGAGGGCGAAGACAGGGGCTGTGAGGAGACCCACCAGGAGCCTCACCCGCGTGGCTGGGCCCTCCGAGAAGGACCTGCTCCGAGGGGCTGCTGTAGGGGCCCATGCCCGCCTTGCTGACGCAGGCCGTCCGGAAGGTGTACGCGCCCGCCCGCGGCAGCTGGCTGATTATGTAGCAGCAGTCAAAGATGTCGGAGGCCAGAGTGTTCCAGCTCCCACCTGCCCCGCGTGGGAGGGAGGGAGGGAGAGGCCGCCCGCTGGCACACAGCAAGCTGGGTGCCTCCATGACCACCCCCTCTGGAACCCTGGAGGCCCCCCCCACAGCTGGCCCAGCAGATACCTTCCAGGCAGCACTGCACAATGTAGGTCACGGGGCTGCACGTCTCCACGGGCTTCCAGACCAGCAGCACCCCGCCTGCATACACCTCCCCAATGTCAGGGCGTGGGGAGGACGAGGGGAGCTCTGTGGGGTGGGGGGAAGCAGCTCTGAGGCCGGAATGGCTCCACATGGGGGCCTGGGGCAGCTATCATACCCCTGCATGTCATGCCTCCGCTGCTGGGCCCCCCGTCCCTCCCGACACCCACCCTTGGTGGCTGCCCAGGCTCCCTAGCCCACGTTCCCCTGATGCTGGTCATCTGGGGGGCCCTGCTGCAGTGTGGACTGGCTGGAGGGCCTAGTGTCTCCAAGGTTTGGTTCAGGGCTGTGTCCTGTCTGGGGGCTCCAGAGGATCTGTGCAGGAACCCCCTTGGCAGTGATCCTCTGTTAGGGTGGAGGGCCCAGGCCAGTCCCACAGACAGGGTACCAGCCCGGGTGGAGAGCCTGGCCCGGTCCTGCAGATGGGGTACCAGGCAGGGTCGGGGGTCCAGCCTGGTCCCACAGACGGGGTACCGGGCAGGGTGTGGGGCCCGGTCCCGCGGATGGGGTACCGGGCAGGGTGGGGCCCCAGCCAGGTCCTGTGGATGGGGTACTGGGTGGGGTGGGGGGGCCCGGTCCCGTCCTGCAGACAGGGTACTGGGCGGAGTCGGGGGCTCGGCCCCGTCCTGCAGACAGGGTACTGGGCAGGGTGGAGGGCCCAGCCCTGGTCCTGCAGACAGGGTGCTGGGCAGGGTGGAGGACCTGGCCTGGTCCTGCAGACAGGGCACTAGAAGGCCTGCCAAGGCCGCTGTCCTCCTCTAGGGCTGGGCCAGGCGGCTGAGAGCTGGGCCCGCAGCCCTGTCCTGGCTCCCCAGAAATACTTCCCAGGAACTGTTTTGGGATCACGACCTCAACTTTGATAGAGGGGCAAAGCACGCAACAGCCTTCTCTGCACTTGCTGGAGGGATGTGGCTGAGAAGGCGCATGGAAGAGCTCCACTCCCTTCCACAGACGGTGCGCTTTCTCTCAGACAACGGTATGAACCGACGGGCTCTGCTGCCAGTGCTTTCCGTGGAGTCGCTCCATCTCTCTCCTGTCTGTCTCTCCCCTTCTCCGTTCTACGTCTCTCCCTGTGTCTCTCTCTCTCCTCTCTTCTGAGCTGTAGCCACAGACGAGTTCAGGGCCACACCAAGAGCTCAGTGCAGCCACTGTGAAAACGTCCTGCTCGTCCCCGATTCTCCCCACCCGGCTACGTCTCTCACTCCCAGTGCACATTTTCTCGGCTTGACATTTTCTTCGTCTCCCTCTCTGCTGGGAGGGGTTCTCATAAATGGCTTTATGTCACATATGCAGTGTGAGGGTGGGTGGGGCTCTGGGTCAGGGAGAGGGCCCACGTCCCAGAGTCATCCCCAGGCCGCGACAGTCACTGTGCGGTGCCCTGGCCCTGTCAGAACTGGGGGATGCCTGGGGTCACTGCAATGGGGACCACGGTTTCCCAGGTCCCACTCGCCATGAGAGCCACCTTAAGAGGCTCCCAGAGCGAGATGATGGCCCGGGCCCAGGCCGAGTCCTCAGGGAGGAGGCAGTGGCTTGTCTGTCCCCCTGTCCCCACCAGTAGGGCCCGCGTGGCACCCACCTGCCCTCCGGAGCACCGCCGTGGTGGTCGCCGTGCCCAGTGCATTGCTGACGCTGCAGGTGTACACGCCCAGGTCCTCGGCGGTCACCGCCAGGATGGTCAGGAGCTGGAAGTGCTTGAGCGTGGAGGAGATGAGAAGTCGGCTGCTGCCCTCCAGGAGCGCGCCATCTGTCAAAGAACAAATCAGGGCCTGCATGTGGGTGGCCGCCCCCCACCACGCATCCAGCCACCTGCCATCCTGCTGGGCCCATGTGCCGCCTGTGACTTGCCCCCCTCCCGAGAGCTGTCACCTTTACTCCAGGTGGCTTGCGCGGCGGGCTGGGCTGACACCTGGCAGGCGAGCGTCACGGGCTGGCCCAGGACCACTGTCTCGTCTGAGAGCTCCTTTAGGAATGATGGGGCTGAAAAGGGGGAGTGAGGACAGCAGTTCAGGAGGCGCCCTCCCAAGGCGCAGTGTCCCCCAGTGCCAGGCCAGGGTGCGGCTGGACCCTGCAGTGGGAAGGACACCCTGGAGAACAGGACCTGCGGGGACCCTGCCCCTCCCAGCTTGTCCTCCACCACACTCTTGTCTAGGATTCATCTCTCAACACCTCCGCCTCCTCCCGGGAGCCCTCCCTGACTGCCCCCATTCCCTCTCTGCTCGTCCTCCACCACACTCTTGTCCATCCAGCATTCATCTCTCAACACCTCCGCCTCCTCCAGGGAGCCCTCCCTGACTGCCCCACCTCCTCTCGGCTTGTCCTCCACCACACTCTTGTCCAGGATTCGTCTCTTAATATCTCTGCCTCCTCCAGGGAGCCCTCCCTGACTGCCTCACCCTCTCTGAGTTCATCTTCCACCACACTCTTGTCCAACCAGGTTTCATCTCTCAACACCTCCGCCTCCTCCAGGGAGCCCTCCCTGACCGCTCCAGCCCTCTACGCTGTGGCACCTGAGGCCCTCATGGCTGGAGCCACTCGTTTGGGGTCTAGTCCGGAGTTGTAAGCTTATCCAACTGATGTGGGTGCCACTGAGGTTGGAAGCCACTGTGTTTGCCCCCTACCCGCCACAACCGGGTCCTCTTGAAACTGTGGGAAAACGGAGGTCCTGGGTCGGGGCACTCACCTCGGTCCTTGCTCTTCAGCCGGAAGGAAGCCAGGCCCAGCTTCTTCCTGGAGCCCTCCTTCTCTGGATCTGCAGGAAGAAAGAGGGGGCCCATGGAGGTCACAGCCCACGAGGCCATGGCTCCTCTGGGCAGTACCAGCTGCCTCACACCACGCTGCCAGGAGCTGCAGGGACAGGCAAACCTGCCCGCCCCACGGCCCTGCCCTCCACGCCTCCGTTCTCCATGCAACAAGCAAAAGCCCAAGATCCCAGGGCAGTGTTGAAAACTGGAGCTGAGTCTGTTGCTGCTGCCCCCTTCCCCGTCCACGCCTGGGTGCCAAGGCCCATCCTGGGCCGGGGCCATCTCTGGGATGAACAGGAGGCGTGCAGCTTGGCGCCATGGGGGCTGTGGGAGGATGGGTAGTGGGGGCTGCATGGAGACCCCCTGGAGGGCTCTAGCCGAAGGTGGCTGGCGTTGTTTCTGAATTTTCCTCTCCAGCAGTATAATCCCTGCTTGGGTCTCTAGGCCTCCCGCCGTGCTGTTACACCCCGGGGCTGCGTCTCAGAAGCACAGGGAAAAAGGGTTCCGAGGCCAGGACGCGCACCCAGACGCCTCGGGGAGTGAGCCCACAGGGGACTTCCTGATGGTCCTGGGTGGGATCCTGAGCTGCTATCAGAGGCGTGAGAGGTCACGGGGACCCCAGGGGTGCAGAACTGAGGACATGAGACGTGCCCGGGCAAGTTGGGGGGAGTCACCTTCCGCCCTGCCCGTCAGGATCCGGGAGATGTGAGCCACCGAGGCCTTCACCCTCTCGCGCAGGCTGTGCTCCTGAGGCTCCTCCAGCGGCAGGCGGCCCCCGGAGAGCTGCAAGAAGCCTCTTGAGGAGGGTGATGCCTTCCGCCTCCCGCCCTGGCCGGCCTCCCCCAGCAGGGCCTCCATGTCCTCTGGTTCCTCCTCCGTGATCTGCAAGCCAGCCCGAGGGCACGGAGCCAGGCTGGCAGGAGGGCCCAGCTCGCCCGGCCAGGGCCACGCCGCTTCCGGGAGCTCTGCCAGCCCCTCGTGGGCTTCATCCGGTGGGGAGGGCGGCTCCTGCTCCACAGACGGCTTGGGGACCTTCCTGAAGATCATGAACTCAAACGGGAGGTACTTGATGTCATATAGGTCGGAGAGATTGAGGTAGGCCGGCTCTACCTCGGAGATGTCCAGGGACAGGGTGTCGGCTGCCTCTGCGTCGCCCGAGAGGTCCTTGATCCGCACCAGGGAGACCTGAGACCCCTGGCCAGAGTCTTCCCAGGAGGTAAGCTCCAGGTAGTCCCTGGGGGAAGGCCCTCTCCCCTCAGGCACAGGGGCCGCGCCAGCCAAAAGCAGTGGACTCTCGGCTACTGCTTCTTCCTGCTCATCCCAGGACTGAGACCCCTGGGCCCAGGCCATCTTGGCCCACAGGGGGCCCTGCCCCAGCATGCCTCCCGCATCCCCACCAAAGGCGAAGGTCCCATAGCCTGCCACCCCCGCGTAGCCCCCATGGCACTCCAAGGAGAACTTCCGAGTGGTCGCCTGCTCCTGAGGGCGCTGCTGAGCGGTCTCCTGGGACAAGTCGTCATCATCCAGAGAGGCTGCAGGCTCCATGTCCTCTGGGGAGGGCGGCACGGCCTTCTCGGGGGACAGGTCCTCCTGGAGGGCCTGCCCTACAGAACAGGAGGGGCTGGGCTCTGGCCCCCGCTTAGAGCCTGGCAGGGGGCTTGCTTGGGCTGGGGAGGGGGAGGCCCGGGGCTCCCCAGAGAGCGGGGGGCGTCTTAGCCCCAGGGAGCCGTGTGTGTGAGACCTTGGAGGGATGGGGCCTGGAAGTTGTGGTGCAGCAGCTGCAGGGGGGCCGCAGCCCTCCTGGGGGGTAGAACCCCAGTCACGGTGACGAGAAGGGGTGGGCGGCTTCCGAGAGCTATCCTGGGAGACCCCTGGAGCTGTGTCGCCGTCTGTGGGTGGAAACAGTCTCGACCCCTGCAGGGACCCCTCAGAGCCTGGGGCCATGCCTGTGGCTGCCTGGCCAGGGGAGCCGGCACCCAGGGTCCAGGCCCCAGTGTGCAGAGTGGCCGTGGGCTCCCCGAGCAGAGAGGGGCTTGGGCCCTGTGCAGAGCTGTCCTCTGAGATGGCCCCGAGCCCCCAGGGCGCCGGGTGAGGACACTGCCCCTCAAAGCAGTCCTTGGGGGACCTCCCCGGCTCCTTGGGGGACCTCCCTGGCTCCTTGGGGGCCTTCCGTGGCTCCTTGGGGGCCTTCCGCGGCTCCTTGGGGGACCTCCCCGGCTCCTCGGGGGACCTCCCCGGCTCCTTGGGAACCGTCCGTGGCTCCTCGATGGACTTTCCCGGCTCTTCAGGCAACTTTCCCGGCTCCTCGGGCGACTTCCCCAGCTCCTCGGGGGACCTTCCTGGCTCTTCGGGCGACCTCCCCGCCTCCTCGGGCGACTTCCCTGGCTCCTCAGGGAAGGGGCTGGTGGTGCGCGGCCAGTCCTGGTCCAGGGAGCGGCTGCGGCCGGGGGCCACACGGGCCGTGGAGCTGGGCAGCCGCAGGGCTGTCTCAAAGGAGGGCGCCTTGGTCAGGAGGGCGGCCTGCTCCTCCCTGGCGGCCGCCTCCTCCAGCGCACGGTGCTCCAGCAGGGGCTCACGCAGGCCGGGCAGCGCCCTTGCCATGTAGCCGCCCTTCAGCAGGTGCCGCCTGGCCCGCGCCAGATGCCTCCTGCTGCCTGCGGCGGAGGGCGGGCACCCTTGCTCGGAGCCCTCCCCGGCCTGCTGGTAGAACAGGCTCCGGATGACACTCTGGCGGGGCACACAGCCTGGGACAGCCGGTGGCCCTGCACCCTGGACCCCAGCAGTCACCTCTGGGCCCTCCGGGAGCACAGGCGACGCCGCCGGTAGAGAGGGGGCTTGGGGGGGCAGGCAGACCTCGGCCTCCTCTGGCAGGCTGGCGGAGGGCCGCAGGAAGCCCCTGGGGTGCAGGAGTGGGGAGTGGGTCACAGGGGAGGGTGGCAGCGACTTGGCCCGGGCATACGGGGCAATCTCATTGTCTGAGGAAGAGCTACTGGAGGAGCCGCTGGCGTCCTGGAGCAGGTGCCGGGAGACCCCGAGGGACGGGCTGTCGGCTGGGCCCTGGAGCAGCTCCGGGATGGAGCGCATCACCAGGATGGACTTGTAGCACATCAGGGAGCGCTGGGGGGCAGTGGGAGGGGTGTCAGAGCTCAGGGCTCCACCTGGGCCGGGGCAGAGTGCTCGGCTCCCTCCACCCAGCCTCTGTTGTTCTGGCCCCTCTGTGACTGTGACGTGTGCAGATGCCACCCGCCACCGTCCCTTCCTCCTCCCTGAGTGGCAAGACCCAAAGGAAGGACAGCCAACTAATGCTCCTGGCCAGCGCCGGGCATACCCCAGCCCAGCAGTCAGGAAGTGGCCCCGAGGGGTCCTGCTGGACCACAGTGGCCTCGGGCCTGGGTGTCCCCTAGGAGCCTCACAGCCCCCTCCCCCGCAGCCCCTCTTCGGCATGGAGGGTGGCAGGGACCACCCACCTGCCAGCGGCTGCGGGCCAGCAGGAACTTGAGTTGCTTGGTGTTGATGAAATGGGCCTTTTCTGCAGGCAAAGATGTCTGCAGGCAAGGGAGAGAGGGGCTGCATTGGGGGGTGGCGGCCTGGTGCCTGGCTGTGGGCACCGTCTGACAGCCCTGGTCAGGGCCCCGCCCGGGACGGAAGCCCCACTGGGGCTGGGGCAGCGGATCAGCCCCAGGCCTGGAATGACATGCAGGTGGATGAGGCCAGTTAGTGGCCATGGAGGTTCCATGGCCTTCCCTGATGAGGGATTCCAAGTTAGTCCTGGAGGTGGACCCAGGGAGAACCCTGAGCCTGCCTCCCTGATCCAGGCATGCTGTCCCATCTGAGGGTCCCAGCAGCCCCCAATCCACTGGAGGCAGGTCCCCTGGGCACCAGCCAAAGTTCGGTGGCTAATGCGCACCAGGAGGGCCCCGGCCTCTTGTGACCTTGGTTTCCCTCCTTGCTCTATGGGGGTGATGAGCAAGCCTGTCCGCCAGGCCTGGCAAGCTCAGTCTACTCACCAGGAACCACGGGTGGGTGAGGCACTGGGAGGCGCTGGGCCGGGCCCTGGGTGAGAGGCAGGCAGGGGGTCAGACCAGGGTGGGGTCAGCCAGGCCCAGGGCAGGGCTGAGCAGGACACCTGGGCGGTGGGAGGACAGGGCACTCACTCCGGGGCCCTCTGCAGGGCGGCCTTGATAAAGTCCTTGGCGTCCTCACTGAGGTGGGCGGCCATGGGGCTGCTCCAGGACACTCGCCCCTCCCGAACGTTCAGCAGAGTGGCACGGTCACTCTCACCCGCAAACGGTGATGAGCAGGTCAGGCTGAAAGGCAGATAGGGAGTCTGTCCCTCAGAGGTGATCTGAATTCCTGGGTTTACGGGGAAAGACTGCTAAGCCAGGGAGTGCGGCGTCTCTCAGGCAGAGCTGTTGGGGGATCAGGGGCCTCAGTCCTGACTTGGGATGAGCTTTTAGCTTCACTCTCATCTAACCCCTGAGAATACCAGCAAGTGTCTCAGATTTGCCCAGAGAGATCCAAATTCAGCTTAAAACAGGGATCAGGGCTCAGCCTGGGGTGGGGATCAGGGCTCAGCCTGGAGTGGGGATCAGGGCTCAGCCTGGGGTGGGGATCAGGGCTCAGCCTGGAGTGGGGATCAAGCTCAGCTTGGGGTGGGGAATCAGGGCTCAGCCTGGGGTGGGGATCATGGCTCAGCCTGGCGTGGGGATCAGGGCTCAGCCTGGAGTGGGGATCAGGGCTCAGCCTAGGGTAGGGATCAAGCTCAGCTTGGGGTGGGGAATCAGGGCTCAGCCTGGGGTGGGGATCCAGACCCAGTCTACACCACCAGAGTTCCTCAGGACAGCAATGATTGTTACGAGTGACCCCTGGACAAATCACCTCAGGACGGCAGTGACTGTTACGACTGACCCCTGGACAAATCACCTCAGGACGGCAGTGACTGTTA